CGTGTGTTCCTGCTTGCCGAGAATCGTAATGTCGGTCTAGTCTAAGTCAGCAATCCTGAAGATTACGGATTGGTGCAAAAAAGGGATAAAAAGCAAGTCTTTATTCCGTCGGTTATCTCGGCAAATAACACTCTTTGGTCGTTGCTTTCTTCGAATCGCAATGCTCAGGAGCGTCGGTCGCCAACTAAACGAATCACTTCAGACTACAGGCGATCGTGGCGCGATATACGAATAGTTGGCAGTCTTACGACGACAACGGTAAAAAAAATAGATCAGAAATGACCACAGTTCTAGTTGTGGAAATGCATCTGTTCATGATTTCTCGTCACTAGGCAATCACCTGCGAGAGATTCTAATGTAAAATGGAACGCCAAAGTGGATCGGATCAGGTAGGGGCACCTCCACGCGCATTCAATTGATGTACATGAGTCCCATAGAAGAGGATAACCATAAACTTGAAAGCTAATCAAGTTAAGAGTCCTGATCTGATGATCTTGCTACCACAGGACCCAGAAACCTTACAGCGAACAATGAGAATCGGGCCCACATCTCAATGACAGCTGAAATTTATACCACAAGGGTTTGCCGGAGACGCATCTTCACACTGTCCTTTGCTACATCACTGACAAAAAAGAGAGCAAAGGACTTTCTAGGTAGGAAAATATCCCAAAGAATGAGGTTTAAATCGGTAGGTGGATGGATAAGAGATCAGAGCCCAGATGGCATAATGAACTTACAGCTGCTGTGGGAAAGAACGCTGAGAGCAACCTGGCAACCGCTATCACGAATGAGACGCACAATGTCCTCGCGCCTGAGACCGGCAATATTCACGCCGTTGATGGATAGAATGAGGTCACCAACTTGCAGCTGGCGAGAACGATCTGCGGGGCTCCCAGGCACAAGACGGGCTGCATGGGAGAGGAGGGGGAAATGTATGCGTTGACATGACCTTCTGGCAATAATAATACTAATAACGATAAAACAGACGAAACAAACTGAGTCAAAAGGCAGCAAAGTGCGTGGCTGCGTTAAAAGACTGCCGAATAAGTTCCCTACACGTGGAAACAACAAGACTTTAGGAAAAAATAATGCCATTGACTTTGGAAAAAAGTATGCTTTAACGGTTGCAGGGACAGAATAATGACCATGTGCAATAGGAGTAAGTCAAAATACACACCTCCGTTCGAACAATGCTAACTAACCTAATTTAAATTCTTCCAGATTCTTTCGAGTAGAGGAATCGAAGATGGACAGCGAACGGTGACCTATAATACAACTGTACTAGGCTCTGGTATGACTCTGGTTATGTAAGCCTCCTTAGCCCCCACCTAACCCAGGATAGTGTAAAAGTCGGATGGCGGTAAAGGGCAATTTGAAAGGTGAGGCCTTGTCATAGGCAAGCAGCAGAATGTGTGCAAGAAAACATAATTAACAAGCAAATTTCCGACAAATGTATTCTGCTATGTCTACACATATCCAGAAAATTTAGGGATTTCAAACAAATAAGAAAAAAGCAAATATCAATAAATAAAAGGGATTTGAGTAACAAAAAACACAACAAAAAACTTATAGCATGTGGTTACATGCATTTAGTAATTAACACACAGGAAGCTACTTCCTATGCCTATTAAGAAATAGGTAACAATCTATTATAGGTAACAACACAGACTCCAAAAACCCCAGAATTCTGTAATACGAGACCCGTGGTAATGGTAATTTTTAATTTAAATACTTTATTTAATTAATTTTTAAATTTTCGATCTTTTTTCTTTGCTACACATTAACTTTTTATAACTATTTTATTTACTATTTTCTGCTTTGTTTGATATTTTTCTTTTATTTTCTCTCCGGCACTCCATTAACGCCCCATCTGCATAGCCTCTATTACCGTCGGTCTCGTATTAGAGAATTCAGGTTTTTTTTGTTTCCGTGGCGTCACCTACAATAGACTGTTATCCAGAGATAAACTAAACCAGACCAGGATATATATCGTAAACCCGAAACTTATATTACTTATCCCCACCGACGACCTCATGCGGAAAATCGGTTGTCATTTTTAAGGGTGCGGTGCCCGAGCTGACACAATGCCAAAATTGAAAAGAGCACTCAATTTTCAGTCCGGATACCCAGCCATGGGATTTACGAGTATTCAAGCAACTTAACGAAATGGCACGTGATCGTTGTTTAGTAAAGAGAAGCAACGCTATTCTAGGTGTCCAGCTCTAGAGACAGGATGGACGCAATCGCGCTTGACTGACCTACCAACTGACACAACAGACCCTTCGTGCATCACTCTATGACAGTTGACTTGCTGTACACTCATCCTCCCTCTCTCGCTGTCGCAATTGACGTCCTATTCCTCTGGCCTCGGAGCACTTAACATTCACTCCCCGCAGCATGACTTTTTAGCTGAACGTAACACCATGAGCCTTCAACCGAAAATCGGCACACTTCCCACAGTTTCCGCCACTGCCAGCAAGGAAGAGGAGAATCAGCAGAGAAGAATAACACTAAGAGGAAGAAGAAGAATAGAAGGAAGGAAGCGGAAAAGAAATACAATTTGGAAGAAGAATGAAGACGAAGGGGGGGGGAGAATTAGGAACAAAGTGCCGGCGACATAATGAAGAAGCATGAGCAGGAGATGAATAAAGGAGAAGAGAGAAAGGAAAAAATGAAGAAAATACTGTGCAGAGGGAGGAGGAGGAGGATGTGGGAGGGAGGAAGGAAGAACAATAGAGAAACAACTCTAAAGATCCCATCCAAAAAGTCTTGACTCATGCCAAACTCTGGTCAGGCAAATAAAAGTAACCCATTTCCGAGGTCGAAACAGCATGTCTCGCTCAGGTTTATTTCAGACAAAGATTTTTCGTAAAGGTACAACAGGCGATGCATAGCGGGAAAAGGTCGAGCAAGGGGCACACAACTTACCAATGTACTGGCCTAGGAGTTTTGCTTTCGCCGCCTGGTCACTGTCAG